CCAACTGAAATGTGAATCCAGACCGACTCTTGGTGAGTTGATGTGTTGCGATAAAATCGAGTACAAAGCATGGAAATTGATGGCATTTATTAGGAATTTTGCAAGAACACGTATACAGTTTGCTGTGAAACGTTACGTGTCTGCGCTTAGTCAGGTTTGACCACGGATTAGCGATTTCGTCAAGATCGATCGTGTGACTGTGTCTGTTAGATCGCGCTCACACGCAAAAGTCAAGAGTTCACCAAGGTGTTCCTGGTTCATTACTGAACGCATAACAGTTTTCACTGATTTCAAATTTGAAAAGCTGCGCTCGGCTGATGCATCGGATGTTACAGGAACTGTCAGGCGCGTAACTATAGGATTTTTGATTGACTGAGACACTTTTGGGGGGGGGTCTGGGGGCATGCTTCCCCAGAAAATTTTTGATTTTCCAAGTCTTGGAAACGCTATTTCCTGCATTCTGGGAGCAGTTTAAACGACAAAATCAATTTCATAAACAGTGACACAATGACTATAATTTTATACTGTAGTTTGCCCCCAATCCTGAGGCTAAGAATTACAAATATTTTTGGTCGAACATCATTGATCAGGTGCATAATAAAAAAGTATTTGTGCTCAATTGTTGTAATATTTGGGCGCTGGCCCGCACTTTTGTTATTGGCGTACTTGTGCACCCACACAGCCTCCCATTTCTTACGTCACTGTAGGGCAAGAATAATGCCTTACATGGAGAGAACTACAGTCTGTCATTGAACTTGAACTCGATTGCCTCATATACCTAGTTATGGGCCTGACTGTAAGCAACAATTGGAAACATCGCCTATTAAGTGGAAACAATTTTTCGCTCCGTGATTTCAGTTAAACCAGTGCGTCGTTCACTGATCGAATTTCTCAGTTGATTGCAGTAGGCACATAAAACTCTTTGGTAACAAAATGCATATGCATATCGTGTTACATGTGAACGTAATTCCTAATATAACTTGGCTAGAAATTCGTTTTTGCACTTTGCATCTTAAAAATATAGTTTAGGGACCGGAGAAATATTGTAACTAATGTTAGCTATTTTGATCGAGATTCATCGCATTTTGGAGTCTGATTTGGGGGGTTTGAAATTTTCGCTAATATAGAATATCACCCGTGAATGACCTTGCAGAACCTAAGTTCCAAATAAAAGTGCCAACTGATAATTCGTTCATAAACTCGCGAAATAAGTACGTAATATTTCTTCATATTATTTCTGAGCAAATTTCCAACTCAATACTAAATAGTTTGAGTCTATATCGAGTTTCGAAAATATTTAATTTGCTTCGCAAATCACTGCATGTAAACAGCTTAATTTTGAGACCGACTGCACTTAGTTTGAGACCGACTGGATCATTTCTCTGGGGGGGGGGGGTGAGCCACCCCCCTACACCCCCCCCACATTTACGCCCCTGCATAAAACGTAACTGATATATAAGGTCAAATTTTCCGTTGCTTTTACGCATTTTTGAGAAACATTTGAAAAAACCAAATTCAGGATCCGAAGAACATTATAAGCACTTTTACAAGGTCTGGTTGTACACTTAACCCCATATATTTTGTTGGGTTTCACCTTATCTGATAACATTTGACTGATTTTTTTGTTCAGGCAGCCATAATAGTCGCTGTATTCTGTGTGATTGGTTACATGGCTCACAATGGGTTAGCCAAAGGTCGTTGGGCTTTCTTCATATTTGTCTGTGTCGTGGCCCTATTGTTTGCTGTCTCTATGCCCATCATATTTCTGAAGAAAATCCCACGATCCTATCCCACTTGGAATTGGAATATTATGGTGCGTTTATAAATTTTTAATGAACGGCTGTTTTCATGTCAATATCAGTCTCTATTGATTTCCTATCGAAGTTTGCTGATCAAAAACGTTGGGAAATATAATTAATAATGAAGACCATGCACCAACTCGCGTGGTCACGTACGATTCATTTTGCCACGTGTTCGCATCATGTGAACATGCAGATGTATTTTAAACTGTGTTTAAATGGAAATTTTATCCTTTAATACTATATTAGTTGTTACATACTTACAATCACAGCCAATTCAAAAAAGGTTATCCTTTCCAAACCTTAACTACTCTAAACCTTAAACTCTAGGCGCGCAAAGCTTAACGGGAGCACAAGTTTCAAGCTTAGTAGTTGAATATTGCAGCTATTTGTGAATGAATTTTTCTCGTAAGGAGATATTTACCATGTCTCTAAGAAATGGGCCCCATGCATATATGATTTCTAAACTGATTAAATGATGCTCCATTAGGCTTTGCTCGCTTAAAAAACATTTGGTCAAAAACGTGCAACTTCGGTATGCTATGACGGAAAAATTTCTTCCCCCCTTCCGCCAACATTTCCGGGAAAAATTTTTAGGTGCCCTTTTCAATATCCGAAAGGGCCTCTGGAAGCCGGTGCCCACCCCCCCCCCCCCCCCCATTCTTTTGATGCTTCCTACGCCCTTGTGTATTGCTGAAGGGATTTGTAAGTGTGAAAAGTTCGAGAGATGGACAGTTAGCTCCGACTTTAAATCCTTTCAACAATTAGTTGTATATACCGAGTGAGATGCCTCAAATCCTTAAAAATGTATTTCTATCCTCTAGCTGTCAATTCCAGCAATAATTCTTGCCTTATTTCTTTTGGCCTCTTCGATTGTGATATCCGTTCATATTGATAACGCTTGCTTGGATTTCTGCGCTTTGGCCACCGTAGCAGCAGTAAGTAAATTCGTAAGATTCATGTGAAGTATAATGATGATAAATTGTCAACCACGGGACGAGAATGAATTAGTTTAGTAGGTAATATAAGTAAGCGTAATACTTGATTTAATCGATCACTGAAAAGCCCCGGACTGAGCTGATAATCATAATCAGTATAGGTAGCTACAATGGACCTTTCCTCTTATAACTAAAATTTCGATCTAGACAAAAATTTCATCACAGCTTGAAAGAGCATCACAAAATTAGTAATATTCGATTCCAAAGTTTTGTTGCAAAATCTTGTAAAATGCGGATAATATAGCCTTGCGAAGTTTGCCGTTTTTCAGTCATTTTGTATTACAAACGGGAAATTGACATCCGATTCGGGTGTTGGGGCTGCAATTTCCCGTTTGTAATGCAAAATGACTGAAAATTGCAAACTTCTCAAGGCTCTATTTTCCACAACATTTCGCAACGAAACATTGGAATATTACTAATTTTGTGATGCTCTTTCAAGCTGTGATGAAATATTTGTCTAGACTTGCCTAGATCAAAATTTTGGTTATAAGGGGAAAGGTCTATTGTTCCAAGACTCTCTCTGTCGTCCTGGTCCCACTAGATCAGTGCACCTAACACGATGAAAGATACAAAGAGAAAATCTTGGAGCAATTCTAGTTAGTAGTACACACGCAAAACATCTTGTAGCAAGACTGCCAACAAGCCGTCAACAAGTTGTGTTCGCACTGCTTGTCCCAAGCAGTGGCGTAGCGGAGGAAGAGGGGCCCTTAGGCATATTTGGTGTGGGGTCCCTGTTGACTGTTGTCATTGTTTGACTGAGATATTATATTTATATCAGTGAATGTTTATAGAATGTCCTGGAAAATTCCATGTCTTAATAATGACTATAACATAACAATAACAGTCTCCAACACATGTAACAACTAATAAGAATAACGTTTGTTTTATTTGAGATGGAATAACAAAATCAGCTACCGTTGTCGATGTACTATTTAAAACACGAGTAGGAGTGTTTTATCAGATATATAACGCGAGGCGCAGCCGAGCGTTATATATCTGATAAAACACGACAACGATTGTTTTGAATAGCTTAAAATACGAATACAAAAGAATACTAATTAGGATGAACCATTATATAATCATACTAATGAGGATGAACCATTATATAATGCCTCATGCTCTATCAGATATAAAGTCATTCCACGTGACATATTATGGCTGACATGATTTGCCAAAAGGTTTATGAATTATTAATGAGTATTTTAAGGAGGTTTAATTCTTTAGCATTATTAATTTTACATTTTCCCATTGATTCTTAACTAATTGCATTTTTACGTTTTCTAATTTTCTGGGCGATAGGCCGTGGCTGATGGGGGTCCTAACTGTCGGGGGCCCTTAGTTTTTGAACTTACCCTACCTAATGAGCGTTACACCACTGGTCCAAGTTGTCAACAAGTTTGGAACAAGCTGGTAACAACTTGTAACAACCTTGTTGATATTATCAGACTTGTTGTTCCAACAAGTTCGATACAGTCATGATATAACAATATTGTTACAACCTTATGTCGTCAACCTTGTAACATTCTTGTTATATCATAACTGTATCAGACTTGTTAGAACAACCTTGCAACAAGTCTGATAATGCCATCAAGCATATCAAACTTTCGCAATACTATCACGAACATTTGAGTCAACTTGTGTCCAGTGCCCCGCGCACAGTGAATGACGCGCAACATGACACTTAATATATGTAAACAAGATGGCGCAAAGACCTAAGCGAGCTTTGTCTCAGCCCTGGTGTCAGCCGATACTTTTTCCCGAAGAGTACAGTGATTACACTCCGAGGCCTTCGACCAAATTCTCCAAAAAGTCCGCAAAGGATAATAATCTTAATTAACAAATCCAGCTTATCAGTTTCAAGTTCATTATAGTATATAGTTACACTATATGACGAGTTTTTCCATGTATTTAAAAGCCGTTTGACCGGGTTTCCACCTTTAGCACGTTTGAAAGCAGCGTGAAGAGAAATGATAGTTTGACCTGAATGCTTGAACTAAGCGTCTGCTAAGCGTGACACTCCGTATGCCACTATTCAGAAGCATGTTTAATATTGACAATAAATGAAGATGAAGAGGCATACGAAACGTTTGGCCTTCCTGAATATTGTCGCTTGTATTCTGTTGACAATTTGTAAGTCAAGAAACCGCACGGTATAAATCAGAAAGATACAAATTAGTAAACAGAATTTCCCAAAACCTCAATTAATAAAGACTACTGTACAACTCACTTGCTTATTTGGTGCACAAACGAAGGCAGAGACTGACTCTGAATCAGAGTTTCCCCTTCTATATCATCGGCTGCAGCAACAACCACTTGAATACATAATGAGCAGCCAAACCATATTCAAACCCACATCTTTGCGCACATTTTGCCCTTCCGAAATCTTCGAAAATATGCATAAATTTACTATCAAAATACGCGGAATTTTACGAAGATTCATAATCTGGCGCTACCTTAGAGCATAGACCTGCGCAGTACGTTCTAGAGCCAGTTTTCTTCGATAGACCGCGCGCGCGGCTCGTTTCTCTATATAGATTTTGACAATTCGCGCATATTTGAGCGAAAAGTGCCCTACGAAATAAGAATTATTTTCAAACGAAAGTTCATTCAAAATGTGTCCCAGAACATAAACTTTCCATTACTAGAGCTACCTAATCACGAATGTAAGAGTACAAGAAGCGCAGGCGAAAAAACATCAAATTTTGCGGCAAATTTGTATTGCAAAAGTTGGAAATATGACACGCGAAATATGAGTAGACTTTTTATTAACACTAAGTTTGATATGCTTGTTACAAGTTGTTAATAGCTTGTTCCAAACTTGTTACAACAACTGGGAACAAGCAGTGCGAACACAACTTGTTGACAGCTTCTGAACAGATTTGTAACAACTTGTTTGCAGACTTGTAACAACTTGTGCGTTTTTACGTGTGTAGGTGGCTAATTTAATCAGGCTTCCGGTTTAGTGCACATGAAGGGCATGTTAAAGTTGATATAAAATTGATTGAAGCCCACCTACTAGCCTTCAGTTTCACGAAGGCCAATGGTCAACTCTAAAAGGAAAGATGGTTATCAAATTGATTAAATTGTTTATTACTATTTAGTTTAATTACATGGGTGATTATTGAAAATTCTCCACGCTGATTGGTTACCGTTGAGGTGATTATTACGCGATAATCACCTAATCGATTTTCAAAATGGCGGCCGAAGCCGTTTTGTCAATTAAAAGACGAAGAAATGTGCATTTTTTTATTTTTTTCCAAATAATCACCTATGAAATTATACTAAAACAATTATTCACCTCAGGCTCGGTGATTATCGTGAATAAAAACCTCGACTTCGTCTCGGTTTTTATTCACCGATAATCACCTCGCCTTCGGCGAATAATCGTTAAATATAGCTATAAGTTTCTTTCTAGTATTCGGTGGCAAATGCATGAGATGGACATATCTAGTATCACTTGCTTTAATTTTCTTGCCTTCATAAGTGTCAATTATAGATTTCAAATTGATCTGACTGTGCATGTAATTGGATGGCCTGTATATTATGAAAATCGTATATGATACGTGCACTGTTAGGGACCGGTCATTATTTATGGTGGGGGGTGGCACCGAAGAGAAATGTTTTTCGTGGCAAAAACTCTTGCTGACCCAACCATTAAAAAATCAAAAATTTGTTTACCCAACCTCAGATATCATTTAAAAAATAAATACCCACCCCTGGCCAAAAACGTTACAAAAGGATGTCATTCAGTTGTCACACATGTCCTTTACCACTTCTGTGATACGTTTGATAACGTTCGGCTTGTGAAATTTACTGACTTTTCTGCAGTCTAAAGTTTCATGTTGTCTGCACATTTACTTTCCTTGGAGACACCATTTGTCTCCCAACAAATCGGAAAATGACCAAGATAGTGACTCTGATTGATTCACATATTGTATTGACATATGACTGTTGACATTGAAGTTTTCAGTCTTCAATATTTGAGTGAGTCATGCTTTGGAAATGACAATAAATTTTTATTACCCAACCTTTGAGTTGTTTTGTTTTTCATTTACCCAACCTTTTTCTCACTCAAAATTTTGTTTACCCAACCCTTTTCTCTTCGGTGCCACCCCCACCATAAATAATGACCGCTCCCTTAGTAGCAATTAATCCAATTATATGCCCATCATGGCGGTGCTTTTATTTACTTCAGGTGTTCGCGTTTTTCTTAACCTTGGTGTTCCTGTTGGAGTCGTTGATTTTATTCAAGAAGGCCGTGAAGGATGAGAAATCACGACGTGAATCTGCCATTGTGAATAACATGGAGACACAAACTGACATAGAGACGTCAACGTCACAGTTATGAGAAAATCGAACTGTTTAAATACACCCTTCCGGAAAGTGCCGAGCCTTGGCTATAGAGCCTCGTTTTCAGGATTGAGATCTCGGTTTGAGACGGCCCTTTTTCTCGTTATATACAGCTATTTCAATTAAGGTTGTCCACGAGCAAAGCGGAAAAGCTGAATACGAGCGCGAAAGGCTGCTGGGAATCGCTAACAAATTAATGAATTTTCAAAGAGATTCCCAGCAGCCTTTCGCGCTCGTAATCGACCGTTTTCCGCTTTGCTCGTGGACAACCTTAATTGAAATCATACCTAATTTTAGTGTGCAGTGATAACCAATTTGTGCAGTGATAAAAGTAAAATGTGCAGTGATAAAATGTAAAATGTGCAGTGATAAAATTTGCTTTGATAAGTTGTTAATTAACACAAGAGAATGATTTAATTGAAATTGAAATGATGACTGCCAAATTATCGAATGAAATAATAGTATATGTTTTTTGTACGCAAATCATGAGATTCAGGCAATTTTTAGTTAATATCTGGCTTTTGGTATGTCCGGAAAAAATTTTTGACCCTTAAAATGGTACACTGACCAAAATTTTTTTGGCGACGGGGGGGAGGGTCGCCAAAAATTTCCGAATATTCGGAAATTTTCTTAGTCATTCGGAAATTTTTGGCATAAAATGTGCAGCGATAAAAAATTCTTAAAATTAGGTATGATTGAAATAGCTGCATACAGATGACACATTTCCGAAATCATACAGTTACATTAAAAAAGAGCTTTATATAACTAATTCATCGGTAACAAGATAAAGGTCTCTAAAGGAGTAAAGCTGATATTTCAATTTCGAAAATAATGCTGTATATGACCATAGCCTATCGAAGGGAAGATGGCTGTGAAACTCATTAGAATAACAATATAACTCATTATCTATGTTAGTTAACGTTTATTCATAAATCTGGTCGTTTCACCGTTACGTGTGTATCGGTATTTTTACCAAATCCACCAATAGTAATTTCCAGTTTCCCTATTGTCCGAGTCACGTATAGATGACTTTCCTAAAACATTGTTATTGGCTAGTTGGGCAAGAATACAATACACATGTGACGGACCAGATTTATGAATAAACGTTGACCAACATAGATAATGAGTTATATTGTTATTCCAATGAGTTTCACAGCCATCTTCCCCTCGATAGGCTATGGTATGACCAAGGCTAAGTACTTTGGGGAGAGGTGTATTCAGTCAGGATTAGTCAAAGCTATCAGTTGATAATCGAACTAAAAAACACTCTGGTCAAAAGTTTCCAGATTTTAACCTAGAAATAATCCTATTTGGGTTAACTTTAATATTCCGAGTAAATTTTCTGGTTATTTTAACCTTTTTCCTACAATAGTCTATAGTTAGACCAGGACGTCCTGGATGAATATAACTGGACTATATTAGGTGGATAAATAATTAGGCACCCCTGGTTAAGAGATGCCCTGGGAGAACCAAAAGCTTATAATCTGGGGCCGGTTGTATAAAAAGGACAAAAGGCAGTTAAAGTTAACTACAGTTAGTGCGAAATCCAACCAATCAAGATCGCGTATTGCGAAATCCAACCAATCAAGATCGCGTATTGCGAAATCCAACCCTGATTCAACCAATCAAAATCGCGTATTGCGAAATTCAACCAATCATTATCGCGTATTGCGAAATTCAACCAATCAAAATAGCGTATTTTAGAGTTAACTACTATTTAACTACAAAATGGTGGTTAAAACGTAGTTAAGAGTGAACCGGCCCCTGATCTTGCTAAATAGAGTAATTGCCAGTTGATCTGGCATTTAGAACAATAGCAACAGATTGACACAACTCCATTTACCGTGTCTGTGATGGTATTTAAACTATTTAACTATACTTGTTCATTCCTTTTGAAACTCTTAATTGAAACTTTGTAACAATAGTGATGCCGAAAATAGTCCCAATGGATATCTATTTCTCATGCATCTGTCTTTATCGTTATCCAAGATAACATAATATTGCTGGCAAGTGAATGTATAAGTATAAATCAGATATTTATTAAAAGTATAGCGTGAATCAATAAGGGTGTGTGCGCACATTATTTTCTTATGTATGTCATGATACCAATATACATGCATATACGACTAAAATACAATATACTACCTATTGAGGCTATTGTTTGCAACTTTAAGTAATATCGGTAATTTCCTTCTTTTAATGCAGAATATAGCGTAGTTCATAAGTATATACATCATGTTGACAAGTACTTAGTTCAGCATTTTAACTGTTCTGCAAGATCGGATTATAATCCTTTTTTTAGTATATCCACTCAGCCTCAGGTAACGATTTTGATGTTTTCTTTACTTTTTATTTGGTATTTAATTAAGATTAACATTTCCATAGCACAAATTTACCGATGCAGATATCATCAAATGCGCTTTGCATATACTTAGTCTGGATTATTTTATTTTCACAGCAACTGTGATATACTTTCTTAATTAATTGTGTTTATATAACCCATAGATATATAACCCTGCACTCTGTCAACTTTCCCTGTGGGTGGAAACCGGAGCAAACCTGCACGACTTTCGACAGAGCGTTGACTTTTTGACTGACTCTTTTCACATGTCTATGTGAGTACTGAGTGAGTTCGTAGTGCAGAGAACGATCGGACCCTCGTTCTCAGAGGTGAAAGGTGCTGCTTTACAGTCAACTCGGCCCACCGTTCAAGGACCAACTCCGCCCGCTCATAAACTGACTAATCTAACCACTAAACAAACTAGGAGCCATGACTGCGTTCTATCTTTGCAAATTTTGAGAGATTTGAATGATCAGTAATTTAGTATCAAAACGGACAGATCGAGAATTTGAAACATCGATAGATTCTTTAAATTAATAAGTCAAACTGGATGTTCTCAAACTTTACTCATCTGTATGCCCAATGCAATTGCAAATGACTGTATCTGTTTGGTGCTATCTTTTGTAAAATATTAGCTTTCCTAATATGTCAAACAGCAGTTAACTATTGGGCCAAGATGGTATGGGCCGAGTTGGTCAGTGGGCCGAGTTGACCAGCTTCCAAAGGCGCTCAAATAAATTCCTGAAATTTTATCTTCAATTTATGGATTCGAAAGAGCATCTAAATTTTAATATTAAGCCTCTTTGAATTTCCAGTAATCTTGTTTTGTCAACATTAACCCTAACCGTTTAGCAATGACCTCTGTCCAATTAAACTACATTCTCGAGCCAAATTTAGATTAAATCTTGATGACTGGTTATGGTAATACGTTAACATTAGGAAGTGCAGAAATATGACAAGAATATAGGCTAGGATCGCATTACTGTCTTAAGTAGCAAGACTTGACGCCAGAATAGCTATACTTCTGGTCTGTGGATAGCTTGGAAGAAAAAGCTTTTCTTGAGCTTTTTAAGAAGAAAACTAAAGAATAAAAGAGTAAAAGTATACACCATTAAGTGATTATCAAATTCCTAATAAAGACGATTAAAAACATGAAAAGGTAGGCATGTATCTTACTATCTTTGTATAAATACATTAATGATAAGCTTTATTATGTGAACACATTTATATGTTGTGTACATCCAAACAATGCCATTTACCATTTAGTAGAAATATTATAGTCATTGTGTTCAGCCTGAATTATGCGCGTCTTTATAGGCCTCTCGTTAATACGTTATGTAAGAAAAAACAGTTGCCATGCATGGTAGGCCTATATATTCTGTAGATGCATCTGATTAACTTTGACGTAATCAGCAGTCCAGAGATATTGCAACAGTCATGCACTATATTTTAAACTTTTGTTGTTATCTTATCTGTTATTAGTTCAGTATATGTAGTAGATCTGGAATAAGGTCAAAAAACAGCCGTGGTGTCCTACCTCTCCCTTCACTCGAAACACCGGCTACAGGGAACACAAACTCCGACAGTCGAAAAAAACTGATACATACTGTTCCTCGCCGCGGACGCCGCCTATAATTGTCAATGGACGCCCGAGCCCTATTTTTTCGTCCGTGCGTCTATACACGCAACCTAAAGATGACCTCACCAACACCTTAAAACCATTTGCCGATGCAACTGTCACTGGGACCACCGTTTGAGATGTATTTATCACTTTCTTACAGCAAATTCAAGCCGTGTGCAACAATGGAGATTGGCAAGGGTCTCTACTACATTACATCCACTCCTGGCATCTTGAAAATATTTGAATTTGTAAGTGTAGCGAGAAAGAGCCGGCCTTCATCAGAGAACAATATATCCCTATGTATCCCCATATATCAAGCCACAACATTCTTAACTCTGGTTTCCACTTTCCATATGGTCGTATAAATGGTCGTAAAAATAGAGTCACGATCTTTCTCAACGGCCATTTTGTAATAGTTTATACCTGTAAACCACATACAAATACGACCATATCGAAACCAGCTATATCATTGGCACTACACAGACTAGTGTGAGCATGCAAGCATACACTGCAGTCTACACACTACACAGAGTCACAGACTATGTGAGCATGCACTATACTATCGCCCGTATTCTAAAAGCTCACTCATACTCACACTCTGAGCTTCCCTTGTGTGTCAGTGCTGTTTTTGAATAGCTGGAGGGTCAGTAGTCACACAGTAAGGTATGGGACTAACCCTCCAGCTATTCAGTCAAAAACAGCACTGACACTCAAAGAAAACCGAGATTGAACCTCCACTCATTGAGTGTGAGTGTGAGTGAGCTTTTAGAATACAGGCGTATATGTAACTCAAGTAAGAACCATGTGATTGTAAGCAAAGGTGACCAGTATATTCAGTTTTGTTTTGACTAATTTTGATATAATATTTCAAATCCGACTATGAGGACTGCATGGATTAGATTTCCAGTCTGCGCAATTTGATCGAGTCGGAGGGGTCATTAAAGTGAGGTAAATTAATTTTGATCCAGTCCAAGGACTGAATTAATTTTAATCCAGTGCCGGGATCAATATACTTCACTGGATATCCAGTATTATTATATACACAAGGTCTGGATATGAGATATTCTGCAATCTGATTGGTTCTCTACTAGCAGGATATTAGCTCATATCCTGCTAGTAGAGAAAAACAAAATGGCGGCCAAACTGAATTTACGATGTTTTGCAAACGAGAAAACGGCAAGTTGTCGCTTTTTATAGCCTTCACAGGATTAAAAACACAATGAAAAAACTCCCACAAATTGTTTTCAGATTAGCAAATAAATTTTTAATATTTAAAATGGTTAAAAATATATATTTTTGAAAAAATAATCGGCCGAAAGAGCGAAGATAAAAACATAAACAAAATAGAAAAATATTGAAAATATTCGAAAAGCAAAGTCTGTGAATTCAGACCTTGTGTATATAATAAAACAGTTATTCCACTCACTCTCGTCGAATATGAGCGATAGCCGATTCGGCGCTACGCGCCTCATCGGCTATCAGCTCATATTCGACTCGAGTTCGTAGAATAACTGTTAAATATCATGTGAGCAAAATAAAGCAATATGGTTGGCTAATTGACATGAATTATTAATGAGATATATTTTTAGGTTGCTCTCCTCATATCGCTGTCGTGTATTGGTGGATTTATCAACACTTTAAACAACTCCAGAGGGACATGGAATTTCTTCATGTTCAGCGTGGCAGCCACGTGGATTTTAACTATGATTTCATTTCTCTTCTTCACACTTGGAGCACATCAGAAATTTCCCTCCATCAACTGGATTCTCGCGGTACGTTGGTAACCTTGTGATAGTGTAGACGCTTTTCACACGAGCAGGACTCGCCCAAAAATCGGGCCGGACTGTCTTATCATTTTACTAATGTGGTGAGCTACATACGTAAAAACGCATGATTTTCGACAACTCCAGTAGATACGGTTATGTTCGTGGTACCACAGCGGTGGTACAGGCCTGAAGTAGACTTTTAACAGAATGTTACAAATCATAACCATCCAATGGTTATGCCGAAGACATTCAACGGCATAACCATCCAAGTGCAATGGTTATGCTGAAGACATTCAACGGTATACCATCCAATGGTTATGAAATTAGGCGACATTAGGCGAATAGACTGTTAGGCAAAGTTAACTAAAAGTTGGATGCACATGGGCGAAATTAGGCGACCCGCTTGGCCCCCAAAGTAGACTTTACTTGAGCGACCAACTTGTAGCAATTTGGTTATGAAATAACAGTATTTTTACAACTTGTTACACTGCGAATCTTGTTAGCAAGTTGGAAGATTCTGACCTGGTAAGCCCGGTTTAACCGTTGGCAAGCTATTCCCTCGTAAGCCCTAAGCTGAGATCTAAAATAATATTTAAATGCATGCATTGATCTCTCTGTAGATGGCAATAATATATTTCATTTTTACTGTGATGCTGCTGATCGCGTCTGGTATACTTGCCAATAATGCAAGATCGTATAAAATCTCCGGTCTTTGTGATTCATGGGAGTCAGTCAGTGGAGATATTGAATGTAACAATCTCGTTGTCGCTGTGGTGAGTATTTATCGTTTTAAGATTGTCTGTACCGATAGGAGATGTGTTCCTTCTACAGTATTTACCATCAATGCCGGGCAAATGTTAAAAAAAAAACACGTAATGTTTTTCCGTCCGTAAGCTTCATCCTGTTTTCGTCCAGATGAAAATGTTCCGTCCCGCCCAGGGGGATCACATAATAAAATATCTTACTTTTGTTTAGATATTCGCCTTTGTTGCATTTGTCCTCTATTCCTTGGATACGCTATTTCATTTCTGGTTAAGCATTGTGATTGAACCTGATGCGAGTGAAGACGAAACGGCTGAGATGGAACCAAAAGAACAACAATCACCAAACGGAGTTTAAAATCTTCATCAAATGAGAACGGACTGCCTCTGTATAGCCGGAACACCAACAAAGTTACATAATTCCTTCTGTGTGTATATATAGCTACGCATTTGGTTAGAGACGAAGAGTATACTATAAGGGTGTAGTTTCATTTGTGGTTATCGTTTCATTTGTGGTATCATGCTTATATATATATAGACTATATATACTGCATGGTTTTAGGTGTCATCCATTTGATTAGAGACAAAACATGTAGAGTAATATAAGGGTGCTGTAAGTGTTATCTGTGACACCATGTTTACTATGTTTATATATATACCTGTTTTGGGTGTATATAAAAAAGACCATATTGCTTAATGAAATACAAAGATGTGAAGATGAAATGCAAATTTTCAAGGACGTTTTTCAGAAAATTCAAGGACCTGAAAATCTTTGAAAATTGCACAGATTTTGCTTTTTGAAATATTATTATATGATGATTAGCGCATCTATATACAAAGAAATTCCATGATTTCAACTTTCCTGGCCTGTATGGATTTACGTTTTCTGTATTTAACGATTTCCAGGAAAGCATAGGCCTGCTAGAGTAAATACGTAACCCTGCAGTAGACATATATGGGCGGTGATGTGACTTACTCCCCCTATCCTTCCGCCACATCATCGCCACAGATATTCAAAGTAATTAAGCTTTATACTTCACTAACTTGAAAGAATCACCAACTTGAAAACAAAACAAATCTTTCAAATTCACCTTATTACAACCCGCACCCTCGAAAATTTATACATACATGAACTTGCGGAGTTACAGCTCGACAACTATATAGCCTCTGTAGCTCAGTTGGTTAGAGCGTTGCACCTGAATTACAGGGCCGCAGACTCGATTCCTGCCAGAGGACCTATAGTGTTGCATTTTTCACAACAGTTCCTGGTAGCATGGGCCTTAAATTGTGTAAATATATGCTTACTTGGATTACCCACCAAACTATCTTTGTTTCCCTTTCATCATTACTATATTAGCATCTCTGACGTCTCAACACACATCTTCAAGATCTTCAAGCCTCCACTTGTATAAGTCTCGGGCCTACAGATCTTTGGCACTTTGCCGCTCATAGTTTCCCATCATTCGTCTTATTTTCTTCTGGTCAGAACATACGTACTCCTATGATTAAGACGTTTTTGCACTTGTGTCATGTAGTAGTCTATCTGGTGACGAAGTAAACACAAATGGTGTTCTATCTAACAAGTTCTAAAATATTTCAGCAAGTCTCTCAAAATATTTTTGATATCTTTAATATGACCGGTTTGAAACAAATTGTCGGCAATTTAGTATTATTTGCATCAGTGGAATTTGCTTATAGCAACAGTTTAAGTGTTTAAAGCTTTCAGTAAACTTGTCGGCCTTTCTGTCAAAAATTTATCTACAAGACTACAGTATAATTTTGTTCATTCAGTATATGGATGTGAATTTAGCTTGCAAATTGACAGTCCAATATGACACTGGACAACAGAATGTTTCGCGCCCCCTGCATGGTCCTGTGGTTGAGAAGCCGACCTACTTTGTAAGCATACGCTACTTCCAAATATGATCATGATATTACTAGTTCGTTATAGTTGAGTATAAAAGTAATAAAATATGTAAATTAAACTCAGATTGCTTGCATAGCTTACGAACCATAGTGTTTTTGTTCGCAGTTACTGTATATAACATCCTCAAAATTGCGGAAAGGTATTGTCGTTGAAGAAAGGTATGTATATATATAGATTCACAAGACATGGTTTATAAAACAATTTGCTCTTTTACAAAATTACGTGTATAAAATAATAATAAATAAATATGTGGAGCGACTGGAGAGAAAAGAGCGTCTGTGATTGTACAAAGTCATACTCGAATAATCGGCGTATAGATAGCCTATATGCAGTGATATAAGTTTTGGATACCTCCATTTTTCGTTGCTAACAGTTGCCAATGCGGTCATGTTAATACTGTCATGCAATGTATAATTGCATTGTTGCCAATGTTGCATGCATTGAGTATACTGTATAACCGTTTCTTCACTTCTTTGGGAATAATATGGTAAATTTTGGTTAACCAAACACGCTTGACCTCTATTGATATATATGGATAGCTTAGCTTATATGTGCGTATTTACAATTAGAGGATTTCAGAATCTTAAACATGCGGCCTTATATAGAGGCCCGTGTAAACATTTACTTTGCCCTACATGGCTAGACTGGAGTCAAGTGTTCATTAAAGCTAGTATTTGATATTGGTGTTGTTGTTTACTGCAGTCAAAGACATGTTATCGAGCCTGAGAATCTATCATTATATGCTAAAGCAATAAAATTATATGCCTTATTTGTAGGGACAATACATTCTTTTGACCTGTTTTTGACTTGAAAAATATTTTTATTCATTTCTAAGCCTAAGGACAGTAAGGTTAATTAAGGACTTTTCATCACTACAATATATAGCAGTCATGCTTACTTCTATGTATATTGGAGTAAAGAAAAATGGTACAGAACAACTCTGTTCTGGAGTAAATTTTACTCCAGCATATTTAAACGCCTATTTTGGAGTCATATTTTTGTTAACGTAATTTAAAAAATCAGGTAATTTGGACGCTTACCCGTCCTCGTCCTTCATATTATACAGGCAGCAATCATGGGACAAATTGGAAAAGGCTTAGACTACGTGAAGTCAATTCCATGCATTTTAAAAATCGTCGAAATCGTAAGTTTCATTTATATTGTTCAAGTTTTTATAAATTCAGTTTGTGATAAAAGATACATAGATACAGGTATATTGTCAGAACTACCCGCAAAAGTTAGATTAAAGACCGGATCAAGCGAGCTATATAGGATGATGATGCGTTCAGTTCTATATATTTAAGTTAAACTCATCATTATGCAGCCCATTGGAACACTCATCAAACTTTTATTTTGTTAATCGAGAGCTTGAAATGTCCCCTGTAACAATGCTTGCATGACTATCAACTCTCATACACTGAATTCTCATCCTCGTGACTTCGTTTGACCATGACTTACAGTGCAAGGGCTGAGAGGCTTAATTCACAGGCCGGTCGAATTTAGCAGGCATTTGCTGACCTGTCGTCAGTTCAAGATGGCGAAAATTGCGGACCTGCAACTATACTTTTCTGATTTGAACTGAGCGAGCAAATATATCACTATTGCCTTTGCACATTTAAGGAAAATATATGTAATAGCCTATAATTCTTTCAACTGTCTCTGCCAGTCAGCCAGTGTAGGTATCACAAGGTAGTGCCAATAACAACAAGCTTTCGTTTGTAGGGATGCAACTCCCTGAAAATATATAAGGAGAATTTCGACGTTTCGAGCGAAGCTACTCACAATTACTCACAATAACTCCAGACGAAGGGCCTTCGCTCGAAACGTCGAAATTCTCCTTATGTTTTTCAGGGAGCTGCATCCCCACTAACGAAAGCTTGTTATAATTCTTTCATAATTTCTTAATCGGCATAAATAATTTCAATAACAAAACGTATGGAAATGTCGAACTGAAAAACGCTTTCGGAAAGTACTCATTACAGAGTTTAAGCTTCGCGTTATACGTCAAACGACAAACGCCAGGCAAAGAAAAATTTACAGTATCAGGCAATAAAGAGTAAATGAACTTGCTGTTTTAAAATTGAAGTACATATATTTATTCTTTCGACGAAAGAAACAAAATATGAAACGAAAACGTTCAACGAAAATTTTGCCAAGAAAGTTCGAACCTGCCGTTTGCTGTTCCCGGAAACGTGAAGCTTAAACTCCCTATTGGTTATAGAACCCCGGTTTCCATTACGTTTGTTTTGCCCGCGCGGGCGAAACGGGCGCCGTATTGAGAACGACAGTGACTGATAAAAACGATAAGTCACTGATATTGTTTTTTTGTCATTGATATCCTTGTGTTTAGGTTGTTCTCCTGATCGCGTTTGCTCTTGTTGGTCACTTTTTAAATGAAATACCGAATGGGTACTTTTCGTATTTCGGGAAAAAAGGAAATCTTGAATTTTTCCTATTTGCAACAATCGTTGGATGGATGATATCCATCGCCTTTCTGGTTATTTTTGTCATTGGCATTCATGAGAAAATCTCAGCACTACCATGGCCACTTGTGGTAAGTAAGGGCTCCGCCGTCAATCGCGTACATAGAGCATGTCCTCTCTCCTCCGCAGAGGCTTTAGTTTTCTTAGGATTTAATATTACAATGAGATACATTTCACTACACTTTACATGGCGGATCTTGGAACACGAGCGTAGCCGCTGGGGGAAGGAGCGCAGGCGGCAAAGGGTCCGTTCGCAGGTTAGGTGGTTATGCACACCACCTAACTGGGTACGACGATAGATATTGAAAATTCACTTTAAAGAGAGGATCGATAAGTGGGGCAACGCCCTTTTTGTCGGTAGAAATAGAGTGTCAGCCCTCCCGCCCCCCGCCCCACCACTTCGGAAATGGGCAAGAAATGTCACTGCTTATTAATTTGCTCTCTGAATTTTGCTAAGCCCAGAAATAAAGACATTGGCAATTTGCCACAAACGAAGGCTGACAATATGATAGCAAATTCATCACAAACCCGGCCCTCCCCAGATATTTTGCAAAATGTCCACAACTGGATTTTTTTCAAGGAGAAAGGTTATTTAATAGAGGATTACGTTAGTTTTCTTCATTTCAGGTTGCTATTGTATCAGCAGTATGGACCATTCTTTTACTTATAGCATCAGCATTACTGGCGGCTGCAGCCAAGGACTACGATGATGACATACAACTGATCTCCGGGGCAACTGCAATCAATGCATGTAAAATTTTGGATAACAGTAAGGCGGATTCACAATGTGGGCAAATTGTTGGAGGAACGGTAAGATATAAGGAAAATTGACCTCTATTGAAATTGATATCTCAAGGGCCCATTATACACGTAAAACTGAATACACAAGTTGTAACAAATCTGCAGCAGACTTGTAGCAATGCTGTTCCAACAACTTGTCAACAGGATATGTCTGCACAGCTTGTTCCTAGCTTGTTGACAAGTTGTCAATGGCTTGTCGACAACTTGCTACAAGGTTGTTGAGCTCAACAGACTTGATATAAGTTGTTCCAACAACTTGTTATCGTCCTGCAATTCAACAATTTGTCAACAAGTTGTGAGTGACAACCTTGTAGCAACTTGACAAAATTACAGCATATATTGTTAAAAGTTGTTGATAAGCTTGCTACAAGCCTGTTGCGAACACATCTTGTTGATAATTTTTTTACGTGTCTATATGAGGCAGCTGGTTACCAATACATTTTGATCTTCATTTGGTGGTGTGTATATTGTTACCACAAGTTTTTATCAAACCGGGGGGAGGGTGAAATTAAGTTTAGTACTACACAGCCAGAAACGCGCAAGTCGGAACAGATCTGCAACAGATCTGTTAAATCCTGTTGTCAACAAGCCGATATCTGGATGCGTTCGCTTGCCTTGTACCTGTCTGTTCTGACAAACCTGTAACGGCCTGTCAACAGGTCTGTTACAAGCTGTTGTGACAGAGCTGCTGCAATGCTGTTTTCAACAGGTCTGTTAAAAGCTGTTGTGACAGAGCTGCAGCAATGCTGTTTTCAACAACTTGCGACAGACCTGTTGCAAACCGAGGAAAGCGCCTTATGAAGCTTGTCTATCCACTATTTTGAACAAAAAACGGCCAAACAGGTTGCCATATTTCGGTTGTAGTGTTTCGTAAAATAGAAGTTTGAAATATAAAGTTTTATAAACAAACTTGCGAGATAATTTTTATATATGAATATAAAGTTTTATAAACAAACTTGCGAGATGATTTTTATATATGAATGTAAAGTTTTATAAACAAACTTGCGAGATAATTTTTGAGCAAAACAGCCGAAAAAATACGACAAATTCAAGAAAGGTTCTTATCGTAAACAATTTTCAAAATTATTTGTCTTGAAGTACGACCGAAATATGACAACCTACTTGCATATTTTTCTTCAAAACAGTACATACCATAAACACAAAGCTTCAATAAGGCGTCTTCCTCGCTCGCAGATTTCACTTGAAATTGGAAAGAAATTATATAACGAATTTCATGTTCATATCAACAATGACGAACGTTGCAGTGAACACTCGGTTGTTCATGTATTGTTCATTTCTTAAGCTCTAGATCTTGTATTCTCATTGCCACAGTTTCTTCAAAAATCAAAACAACTTTGAACTTGTTTGATTTTGTTTGAGGCAGTTGTTGAAATTTTGTTTGAAAAACAACTAAACATGATTATGTGATTGATATGTTTGTAATATTTCGCCCAATTGCAACGAGGAATGATGACGTGTGCACACGCGTTTATCCAATCAGATTAAGGAAATATAGCGATAGCACACGTCAGCAAATTGGAATTTGGATTTTGGAAATCGGAACTTTTTAAAAAAAAATAAAACAGCGGCTTTTGCATTTTATAATAATCAGAGAATAGATACTATGGACTATAATCTCTCCTATGTGATTTAATATTGCCACCAATGACAATGATTAAATGAGAAAGTGAGGCCGAAAGTGTCCATTTCGTGCGATTTTATATCTCTTTACTCACACTTTCGGTTTGTTTCCCAACAACAGGCTTGTTGAAACTTGTTGTGACAGGACAAAAATTGTTTGTTGTGGACAGGTTTGTCGCAGGTCTGATAACAAGCTTGCTGCAGACTTGACAAAAACAACTCGCGACAGGTCTGTTGGAACAGGTTGGAACAAACCTGTTGATTTCAACAGACTTGCTGCAAGTTGTTCTATCAGACCTGTTATCTCTTGTTAGTAACAGGTTTGTAGCGGGTTGTTTCAACAAGTCGCTACGGCCAAAGATTAGATACTATAAAGATGTGTCACTCGACGTATTTCCCTAATGTTTGCGTGTCCGTAATTTTCCGTGCTGATCACGAGTGATCACGCGAGATGACGAGTGCATAACACTTACTGCCAAAATGGCGGCGAGACTGAATACAATAGGTTGCCATCGCGATGCTCGCGCTATATGACGAATTTTGACGAATTTGACACTTACTGGCAAAATGGCGGCTATAAAAAAATCTCGGACATAATTTTCGCAGAGTGACACATCTTTATAGTATCTAATCTTTGCTACGGCTCTGTTGTCAACAGCTTGCGACAGACCTGTTACCGCAAGCCTGTTACCGCCTGACGAAACCAACAGACCTGTCGCGACTTGTTGACAACTTGCCGCAAGCCGGTAAAATCAACAGCTTTATTATTATTATTATATTTATATTTATCCAGGATACCCACGTCACCGAAGTGTTTTTCAGTGGGGTCCTGCATTATAAATTTCAACTTCAATATACATATACATTACAAAATAACATGCAAATCTACAATAACATGCGTTAAC